CTCGTGCTCCCCGCGCTGAGCGATCGAGCCCAGTGTCCTGCAGAGGACGCTCGTCAGCGCGTTCTCACCACTGTCATCTTGTCATCCCTTTGCCTAGCTCCACCCCCCGGGCTGGGAAACCCGGCCGCTGACGGTCCGCGGTCCCCCGGGCCCAGACCCTGGGCTGCCCCGCGTTGTCTCCCCCGTCCACACGCTACGAGCCTGGAATGCAGCTCTCCAACAGGGCGGCAGCCAGGGAGGCGGCGAGACGCGACCGGCTGGCCGCGGACCTCCGCTGCAGCCTCTTCGTCTCGGCGCTGCAGAGCTACAAGCGGGACTCGGTGCTGCGGCCCTTCCCCGCCTCCTACGCCCGCCACGACAGTAAGGACTTCGAGGCCCTGGTGAGTGCGCCCTGATCCAGCGTTGCTCGCTGCATCCTGGGCCAAGTGGCCCCATGGAACGGCAGGCAGAGGCAGCACCACCCGTGTTAGAAAACACACCAATTCCTTGGACTTCCCTTTCCCAGCCTGGCCTTGGGGAAGGTTCCCATCAGCAGGAACACTCCTAAACACCCTCGTGTAGACACACTGCCAAGCCATTTGGTGGCTGCTTCCTCGTGTCAGTGACTGACTCCCAGGAGTGATGTGAGGAATGTGGCCCCAAAGGGGCGTTGATCTGAACCAACTGTTCTGCTTAGCTAGGAAATTGACCCTCCCATTGCAACCAGCTAGACTTTGCTTTTCAGATAAAGTTACATATAGACAATTCTTATATAAACTATCACACCCAGTGCACATAGGTGTTGTTAATTTCTGATGATTTATAATTCTGAGTACGGGGATTACAGGCTTGAACACCAAACCTGGCCTACAAGGCATATAATTTCTTGAAGTGATAGGGTCAGTATTCCAAATGTCCGCTAGTCTTGTCATCCAAATATCTGGAATTGCCTGGGAAGATATAACTTGTCAACATTGAATCAGTTAAGAAAATAGGAAGTCTCTGGTAGTGGTGTGTACACCCACAGCCTCAGCACTCAGAAGGATGAGGTAGGAAGAGCACAAATTTGAGGCTAGCCTGGGCTACAAAAAGAAACAAGCAAACCTTTTGAGCCTAGCTACTTCATCGATGAACTCTATTTCAAATATAGGGGTAATAAATAATTGCAATCTCACAGAAATTCTTCTAAAAATTGATATGCAGTTAGATGTGGTGGCGGGCAGACACCTGTAATTTCAGCACCTGGGAGATGGAAGCAATAGTAGTACTAGTTTAAGGTCAGCATCATGTTGAGTTTCTGTACAGCCTGGACTACATAATACTATCCCAAATAAAGCAAAAAAGAAGGAAGGAAAAAGAGGCTGGCATGTCCTTGGCATTAAAACTGATAAAGGGAATATAAGAAAATTATTGAGCAATGCCATTCCTGAGTATAAATGCAAAAATCTGGGGCAGGGGAGACAGCTCAGAGGTTAAGAGAACTGGCTGCTCTTCCAGAGGTCCTGAGTTCAATTCCCAGCACCCACATGGTGGTTCACAACCATCTAACTCTAGTTCCAGGAAGGTCCAAGACTCTCTTCTGGTCTCTGCCAGTACTAGAATGTACGTGGTGCTCAGACATACATATAGGCAAAACACCCGTATACATTAATTTTTTTTAAATACAAAAATTCACCACAAAGTATTAGGATCCCAACTCAATGTATAATAAAAGGTAATTCATCATCATGGGGTTGAGTCCCTGCCAGGAATTCATAACATTTTCAGTTTAGGAAGCCAACCAATGTAATGAACCATGTGAATCAATGAGAGAAATGTTCAGAATGGACATTTAGTATATAGTACCATCTCTGAAAAGTTTGTGAGTACTGGGTTTCCTCCTTGCTTTTATTCCTTGGAGGTCAAGCAGCAAACAGAGGCCCTGACAACCCTCCCCAGTGTTGAGGATGTCTCAAGTCTTGACCACACTGTCCAGGCCAGTTAGGGTACAGGAAGTGGGAAGTCAAAGAAACAGGCAAATTGACTTCCACCATGGCTTGTTTTGAGAAGTTCTGGTATTCACTTTTTCGTTTGTGATGTAAGGGGTTTAGGCATAAAATATGCTTTCTTAGGTTTGACAACAGGTATTTATAGGTCAAGTGACTTCAAAGGCTAATTCTCACAGAAAAGCAAACCCATTCTGGGTTTGGCCTTGTGGATCATTTTATGGTTGTCTGAAGAAGGTGATTTAGGAAGCTGTTTTTAAAAGAGTCCCTCATTCTCTTGCTGGAAGCATTTGGCAAGTAGTATGAATGTTTGCCACCTTTGCCCATTTGCAGGTACTTTTCTGCACAGTCTCAGGGGTTATTACATTACAGTGGTGTAACTTTGAACAATTAGTGCTCTGGTTTGAATTGTTTATTGACTGTTGCCTGCTAGGGAACCCTTTGATAAACCAAGGTCTGGCCTTTTCCTGCTACTGTCCCCAAAGCCCTCAGTTATCTCTGAGGTGACAACCTTTGTATGCTAAGTCAGTTATTTGTTTTTTTTTGTTTTTTTTTTTTTTTTGAGAAAGGGTTTCTTTGTGTAGCCTTGGCTGTCCTGAAACTCACCCTGTAAACCAGGCTGACCTCGAACTCATAGAGATCCACCTGCCTCTGCTTCCCAAGTTCTGGGATTAAAGGCATGTGTCACCACCACCTGGCCAGTTCTTTGTCCTAGCAAGTTCTTTGATTTAAAAAAAAAAAATCTTTTTTTAAAAGATTTTATTTATTTAGTATACAGCATTCTGCACACCAGAAGAGGGCACCAGATCTCATTGTAGATAGTTGTGAGCCACCATGTGGTTGCTGGGAAATTGAACTCAGGACCTCAGGAAGAGCAGTCAGTATTTTTAACCACTGAGCCATCTCTTCAGCCCCCAGTTCTTTGATTTTTACACTGAGAATTCTTTGTGTTCTCTGGGCCTGGCTTGGGATGTACTAACCCAGATTTGCGGAATGTATTGAGTAGATGGCACAGGCTGAGAGTCTCTGACCTTGTTTCTTGGCACAAGGGTTTCATAAGGCCAGAAAATCTATAGCACTCTTGGGATTTCCTGACCCTTTGCCTTTTGCCCCCAAACTTTTGACTGTCATTTGAAAACAGACCTTGTCACTGGCTGTAACAACTGTTAAGCTTTTGTTTCTTTCTTTCCTTTAGAAAATACTAGGTCCTGGTTTTCTGTTAGACCACAGACCCTTTGCAAGGGTGGGAGGCAGCTGGTGACTGCTCCTCTGAATTGACTCCAGTCTTTCAGTGCTCAGCATGTTTGGGACCGAAATCCATGCCCGAATCCCACACCAGCATCCCGATAAGCATTACCTTGGGGGCTTGTTAGAATGGCAGAATGGAGCTAATGAGCTCCATGGGTAAAAGTGCTTGCTGCACGGGCCTGATGACTTTGGTTTGGTCCCTAGAACTCACAGTGGAAGGAGAAAACTGACTCCTGCAAGTTGTCCTCTGACCTCCACAGTGACTGTGACTGACACACACATGCACACACTGCTGGAGGCAGAGCAGACTGGTCTCTGTGAATTTTGAGGACAGCCTGGTTTACATAATGAGTTCCAGGATAGCCAGTTAGACTCCACCCCCCCAAAATTAATTAATTAAAAAAAGAAAACTTATATAATGTTTTCTGTGCCCTGAGTCCTCCTGATACCATTTCTACTCCGTGCCCTGGAAATTCCTCCTCCTGTAAAACTCAGATGAAAGTTCTCCTTGTTCTATGCCCCACTTACCTACCCCTAAAGGTATTTTTTTGGGGGGGATTTTGAGGCAGGGTTTTATCTGTGTAGCTTTGGAGCCTGTCCTGGCACTCGCTCTGGAGAGCAGGCTGCCTTGGAACTCACAGAGATCCGCCCGCCTCTGCCTCCCAAGTGCTGGGACTAAAGGCATGCACCACCAAAGCCCGGTGCCCCCTAAAGGTATTTTATCTATTTATTTTGCATGTGTTTGTGTGTATTTGACTGTGCATGGGCTCCTGTGTGTGTGCACACTGGTGTGCAGACCTGAAGCTTATATCTGCTGTCTTCTCCATCACTGTCTATGTATTGATGCAGGATTTCTCACAGAACCCGAAGCTTGCCAATTCCAGCTAGTCTAACTAGTGCTACATGCCTCCAGATTTTTCACACGGGTTTTAGGGATTCAAGCACTGGTTCTAAAGCTTGCATAGCAAACATCTTATCCACTGAGCTATTTACCCCCCACCCCCACCCCACTACCCCTTTAATGTGATGCTGAGGATCAAACAAACTCTGGGAGTTGGTATTTCTAGCAGACACACTGTCAACTAAGGTGCATGCCAATTTTTTGTTGTTGTTGTTGTTTGTTGTTGTTTTTTAAGCCCAGACTGGTCTGGAATTTGGAATCCTCCTGCCTCAGACTTCTGAGTACTTGGAATCACAGGTGAGCACTACTGTGCCTGCTTCTTTCACAACTTTTAAAAATGACTGTGGTGGTTTGAAAGAAAATGGCCCCCAAAGGGAGTGGCACTATTAGGAGATGTGACTTTGTTGGAATAGGTATATTCTTGTTAGAGGAAGTGTGTCACTGTGGAGGCAGGCTTTGAGGCCTCATATTTGCTCAATGTACCACACAGTATCTCTGACCATTTCTTAGAACTCTCAGCTAATTCTTCAGCACTACGCCCCACCATGAAAATAAGTTTATGAACCTCTAAACTGTAAACTGCCACCCCAATTAAATATTTCCTTTATAGGAGTTGCCTATAAAGGCATATAGGTCATGGTGTCTCTTCACAGCAACAGAAACCCTAACTAAGACAATGACTCTCACAAATAATGCCACAGTAATACACCCTTTTATGTCAATAACTGTTTACATTTCTCATTGTCTTCTTGAGACAGACTCTTGGGGCATGGCATTGCTGGGTCAAAGGCTAATGGAGTTTTGTGAGAAAGGCTTTTGCTGCTTATTTCCGGTTTAGAAATGGGATATTGACATTTACTGGGATAGATCGCTTTCTAGACTCTCAACCTTGTCTGACATTGAAGTCACTCAGGAATCTGGGGAGGGTGTCATCCTTACAGCACATGGCTTAACTGATCAGTGTAGCCTCAGCATTGGGATTCTTGTTGTTTGTAGATTACATGAAGCATTTTAATTTTCCTATCAATTGATTTAGGGGTTTCCACAAGTATTCAGATGATGGATAAGGGAGAAAATTATAGTGTTTAGATTTGGTTTTGTATAATAAAAATGCTTTAGGTAAATACTATAACGGAGCCCTGGATGTCCTAGAATTCGATTTGTAGACCAGGCTGGTCTGGAACTCAGAGATCCACCTGCCTCTGCCTCCTGAGTGCTGGAATTAAAGGTGCGAGCCACTATTGCCCAGGTTAATACTCTATATTTT